AACACATGCCCAAGGGGATTCGAATACAATAAAAATATTTATATTTATACCAACCACTATATACACAACAAAAATGCAATACATGCCCAGGGGGATTCAAATGCAACACATGCCCAAGGGGATTCGACCTTGGGACCTCAAGTAAAAATATCAAAGTCATAACCATCAAGCCATCTAACTACATGTGATTATAAATTGCTGATTAATAGACTATATTTACATTTCGTTTTCATTTAATGATAGTTGGGAATTATCCCACATCGAAAGATGGCTATTCAACTTTGGTATATAAATACCTATGCAATATGAACCATAAAATGTGTGTAAAAATATTAAGGCAACCTCACACGTGTGTTTGGATACACGTGTGCACGCGTGGGGCACGCTCGCACGTGTGCTTGGACACACGTGTGCACACGCTTGGATACACGTGTGCACGTGTGAGTGTGCGTGGGGCACGCTCGCACGTGCGCTCGGACACACGTGTGCACGTGTGAGTGTGCGTGGGGCACGCTCGCACGTGTGTGTCATGCTTTGTGTGTGAACTGGGCTGAGTGTGCACGTGTGAGTGTGCGTGTGGCACGCTCGCACGTGCGCTTGGATACACGTGTGCACGTGTGAGTGTGCGTGGGGCACGCTCGCACGTGTGTCATGCGTTACGTGTGTGAACCAGGCTGAACCGGATAGAACCGGATGGGAACCGGCGGTTCCACTCTAGAACCAGGCAGTTCCTGGTTTTTGATTGGAACCGGCACGGGCACACGTGTTTCCGAGTCGAACCGGGCGAGTCCGGTTCGACTCGTCGTTTTTTAAAACACTGAATAACATGATAACAATTATATTTTAAATAAATACTTATTTGAATTGTAACATTCATTAAATATAATAATTATGTAATTATCGTAGAAAATAAATGAACACCCACCAATGAACCTTTTCTCTTAGTTTCTCACATTGGTCTGCACCAGTGTTGTATAACCTTTTCTCTTAGTTTCTCTTAACTTAATTGTAACATTCATTAAATATAATAATTATGGAGCAACAAGCCGATACAATTTGGTGGTCATATGCGATTCTCAGAGAATCTCAGATGCCGACAATACATTCATATTTTGTGACTACCACAACAGGTAGACAAGTTGTTTTTCAAGTGTTCACCAGGTTTAAACTTAACATGGAAAAGGCTAAGTTCATAGGCAATGGGGTTACATGAGACCATGAGAAAGAGCTCGTACACGACGCTTGGCTATGGCACCAACAAACTACCCAGCAAGTACCTTGGCCTCCCCTTGTGCATCAGCAAACCACGAAAGGCTCTACGGGATACACTTTAGAAAGGTTCAATAGGAGACCTGCTGCCTGGGAAACAAGATTCTTATCCTTTTGGTGGGAGATCATTTTAATCAAGGCACCCTTGGCGAACACACTTGTATTCCATATGGCACTTTTTTGACTGCAAGCTGCAGTGGCTAACTGCCTATAAAGGTTAATCTGGAACTTCTTGTGCCGGAGCAGGTGGTCCATACAAGTTTCAGTTGGTCAAGTGGGACCAAGCGTGCATGTCAAGAAAAGAACAGGACCTAGGCATAAGAGAACTAAGAGAGGCCAATACTGCCTCATTGGATAAATGGTGTTGGCGCTTCACCGCAAGAGGACCACCTTTCACATCGAGTGATTCTCAATAGGTACAGGTTGAACAATTCAGGATGGTTCCCAAGGGCCAATGACAGCACCAGAGATTTAGGGGCCTGGAAGGGCATTCTTTTGGCAAACTGAGTTCCCAGCAATTATAAGATATAGAGCATGCATTGGAGATACACAGCTTGTGGAAAACCTTGTGGTTAGGGAACTCTAGAATTAATTCAGGTAATCTATACATTCTGATAATTTTGGAGTTACTCTCTAGCATCAATTTTTTTTTTTCCTATTAGTGCATTTTATTTTTATTAGCTTATTTCTCTAGGAAGGATCGAAGTAGATCTAAAACTAGGTCAATGAAACCCTATTGATCAAAGGATATCAAGCAGTCTACATATAACAAAGAGAATCATCAAGCTTCCAAGTTATCAGAAAGATCAAAGCTCAAAACCCATGAATTACTAAAATGAAAAAAATGAAAAAGCTCCAACCAGAACCATCCACAAGCATCAATGTGATGCAATCACAGTGAAATTCATCCAAAATAAGGGATGCAACTTAGGAATGAGAATATGGTAAAAACAAGATAATAAAGAACAAAAATCTTGACAGTATTGAGCACCTGCATAGATCATGCAGGTGGTCCATAAACTTGCATAACAAGACAGTACTAGGACAGAGCAATAATAGCATTTTACGCCATTCCAACAGTCAGCAACCAAAGGTGAAAAGGTAAAAAGGACAGGAGTAAAATAGCCATTAAAAATTTGACAGGCACAAGTCGTGACCTTATATTTCAAGTTTCCGGACCACCTACATGATATCTATGCATGTGTTGCAAGAACTCCTAATATTTTCCCAAGAAAGAAAACCAAAAGAAAATAATCTGGGGTTCACATACAGTGAAAGACAAACATACCTGGTATTCAGTTCTTTCAGCCAGCAGCAACAAAATCTTTCCAATCTCATGCAAGACCAAAAGAGTGAGGTGCCCATTTAACTTAACACCTTGGATTTCTTTCTGAATTTCAGATAGAATTCCCAAAATTTGATCCTTTGAGGGAATACTTCCTCTATTTGACATCGGAAACACACTATTCACGTGATCTGAGAGTCGACTTAAGCAAAGCGCCAAGAAAGAAGTCTGGAAAGACTCAATGGCAGCAGCCATTTGTTCTTTGCCCTCTGAACTTATAGCTGGAAGAACCCCCTTGACATCAGTGTCACGTGAGATTCTTTCAAGCAAATTCTCAATCATAGAGAATAGTTTTGGGTAACCCTTTGTGAGGGTTTCCTTGACAAAGCTGGAAGCCGTGAATGCTGACTTCATTTGGCTGGCAAATGATTTCACAAGTGCTTCCCAAACTCTTTCAGTCAACACTGGATCACCCTCCTGAAAAATTATTGCAATACTGCAATTTTTATTGATCTGGTAGCTAAATATATATTTTCAAATCATTTATGAGATAATACAAATTGGGGAAAGTATTCCATGCAGCAAGAGTATGTTGTATATGCTCCACTAAAGGGGCATCCAACATCCATGCCCAGTCATGAGATGAAGCCTTGTGGGGCCCACAGGTACATCCAATCAGGAGCAATTAATCTCCAATGTCCATTATAAGGAACTGATATTGGATTGCCCTTTGGTGTACCATATACCTTACACAACTGGTGTATGGTATACTTTCCCTATAAGTAGTGGACAAGGAGAAACCAAATCTTGATTGATAAAGTTCTAGATCCCGAAGGAAATTTATCCCATAAAATGGAGCACAAAAACAAACCAAAGAAAACTTTCTTCCAGCAGAAGCTCAAGAGAAAAATTTACATTACACAAGTATGCCAATAAACTTAATCAACTGCATGACTTCAAAAAAAAAAATGAAACATAGATATGAGAAAGATCACTAAATTCATCTCCACAGCACAATGAAAAGGCTAGCCATGTACAAATAATGCCATGTTGTGCCTGATATGGATCAAGAATCCATCAAAGAAGTGGCCGTTTATATCCAAGAAATGTTAATTTCGTTAGAGCAGTACAATTAATGCAACCATCCAGAGGTCGCAACAATATGGATTTAAATGATGCTCTTCTAAGACATAAAGCATAGAAGGCCTGCATAAAATTGCCAACCACAAACAAATAACATTTTTATAGTGCAATTATACATGAAAGAAGATCAGCTCTTAAAGAGATACTGCTTTCATAGTGAATCTAAGCCACCCTATGTAACATTTTTCTCTCCGTGTGTTCCCAAATTACTTTCATCAATATCCCCATAATTATTTTTCCTTGCTAAGTACCATTAACAATAAACTAAACACCTATTGTATCCTCCTCTCCATTTTTAGACCAAATGGGTAGGATGTTTCTAAATGATACATATGAAAGTCCAGCAAGGGGGGAGAGATTTACCTCACAAGTCATGGATATTTACAGAAGCACCAGGTCAATATTTTTTTAGGACCAGTGGAAGCACTCGGCCGCTTTTATATAGGGATAAGTCACTAGTACACTAGTGCTGATCCTTGTTTTCTACAATATCAAGATACATCTCAAGACCCTTCCAACTCCCCTTGGTTATAAAGAAAATGTAAAGGAAAACATTTTTTTTTTTTAAACTGAAATGAAAAGAAAACATTCCTACTGATATCCTTCATTTTATATCAGATACATGAATACATAGATTATGGTGCATAGAATTTGGTATTGTGACATCCATTTATTATTTCTATATTTCTTTGTTATATTGTATGATTATCCTTCTTTTGTTCTTTCTTTAATCTTTGCAGTAGTAAGTTTCTATCTTAATTTTTTCATCATAGGAGCTTTATTTATTTACTTCACAAACATAAGTCCCACTCCTTCACCAGGCAAGTTGAAGGAGACAATCCAACGTTTCATAAAGCCCTAGGCGGCGCCTAGGCGATTGGGGGGGTCTAGGTCGCCCAGCGCCTAGGCGGGTGCCCAGGTGGGCGCCCAAAACCTGAGCGGCCCAGTAGAAAGAAAGTTTTTTGGGGGGGGGGGTTTCTCTCCCTATAATAGGCTCTGATGGGTTTTAGGTTTCAAATGAACATAAAACCCATAATTTTGCCCCCTTAGTATTAAAAAAATGATCCAAAAATGACCAACGAGGGGCATTTCTACCCTTGGGCGGGGCGTAGGCCCGGGGCAGCAGCCCGGGCGGCCCGCCTTGGGGGGGTCCCGAGTGCCTAAGCGCCCTGGGATATCCGCCTAGGCCTGGGCGATGCGCCCAGGCCTTCTGGACCGCCTTGGTAGCTGCCCAGGCGCTGGGTGGTCTGCTTTTTAAAACATTGGGAAAACCAATTACAAAATGACTGCGTAGCTCCCCCATTCAATTTTAATCTAGTTGTGTCAGTCACACGGGCACAGCTAGTTGGTTCAAGCTTTGCCAGTATCTAGGCTACATAACCAACCAGACAACAGAGTTATAGCAGACCTCAGATTGCAAGCCGCATTTCAACCTTAATTTTCTAAGGTCCTGGGTTTCATCCATTTTAACCTTAGTTTGCAAGCTTCCCCATAAATATTTGCAAGCTAGAGGGATGTGATTTGGTCACATCACCCACAGTCAGTACCGACAAGACAAGAACAATCTAGACTATCCAAGTGGGCGCTCCCCTTCTCTCACTTACCCATCTGCTCCTTTCCCCTAATCCTCCACCCCATCCCCCCTCCTCCTTGCTCCCCCATTAATTCTTTGTCTCCTTGGCACCCCCTACATGCCCAACTCCCTCTTTGTCTATCCCTTCCCCATTCCCCCCAGGGCCACTATGCTTCCAGCTCTCACTTTGTCGCTTGATATCTTACAATGCAGTCCCTCTCTCAGCTTCCCCCATCTTAGGTAGAATTGTGAGATTAGTTTTAATGTATCTGGGATGGAATGACTTCAAGACTTCAACATCAGGCTACATGTGTCAATAGAAAAAGTTACTAAAATAGATGAGATGAATAAAGAAAAAATTCACTCCCTTTAATTATGTAGTTGATGTGGAAAGGAACACAGGATTTTTTCGAGGCATAACGGATTGAAGATTGAAGTCAAATAAACATTTTAGGAAATAGAGGTCAAGGAGAAATACAAGGTAGAGAAAGCACTAAAAAATGGTCATATTGAAAGGGGCACAGGACTAGATTCCACCTCCGACTAAAAAAATAAACAAAATAAGCAACAAGAATCCAAAGCCTGCTGGATTGAATTTCTTGTCCAGTGGCAAATTTAGGATGACATAGAAAAGAATATTATTCGTTGTTCTGAGGGGTGGGGAGAAGCGCCTAATATCTAGGTGGCAAATGTTCTCTTTTCTTTTTTCTTTGTTGGTAAAGGCCATGTTGTCTGCTATGCTTTTGTTTTTTTTTTTTATGGTAAAGGCTCTTTGAGAATGAACATTTACATGATACAATTTATCAAACAGATCAAACTTACAAAAACAATTTTAAAGAGGAACAGGGTTGCCCAAGCAAATGTTGTGAACATCATCAATAGTGATGGAATATTTCGGAACTTTGAGGCACAGTGACCATAGAGTGACAAGAATGAACAATAGTCCAGGATAAGTAGCACAAATAAGGTAGATGATCTATCTACCGGATTTGGATGTGGGTATGAGAATCAAAAGTCAGAAGGTTGGGAGCACATGTAGTGGATTAGTGATGGGAAAAATAATTGTTAATGGAAATGCATACTCTGGTGAAAGTAGTGGGGCAAAGTACTGTTTGAGAGCTGGTCCCAATGGGGCCCTTTGCAGGCAGTCAGGCACTAAACTCTTCATTATGAGAGCGACCACGAAATTTTTGCAGACAAACTATAAACTTTGAAAAACCTTCTGGTTAGCAATTAATAGTATGCAGCATGCACTAAAAAGAAATAGAGGGGGTTTCAGCTTATCAAGGCATGCCTCCTTTGATGGATGAAGAAGTGAATCATCACACACATTTTTAAAGTATCAAAAAGGTGAAGGAGGTGGAGGGAATTCAGCCTTAGGTCCAAGGGACATCAGCAAGAGTTAAGAAATGGATTACAAATAAATTATCTCCCTTTGATTACACTGAGGCTGCCAAAATGAAACAGATTTTTTAAGAGCACACTTTGAGAAAGAGAATATGTTTAAGTTTAAGAACCATTCAGTAATTAGAGATCAAGGAGTGCTTCAAAGAATAGAGGAATCTCACAAATAGTCTTTTAGAAGGGAACAAGGTATAGAATCCACCTCTGCTCAGATGCATAAACTAAATCAGTAACAAGAATCAGAGGCCTGCTGGATAGAATTAGTTTCCATGGTAGGAATTTTAGGATGGAAAAGAAAGATAGTTCTTTGTTATGAGAGTCAGAGAGAAGTCTCTGGGATCTAGGTGGTAGACGCTTTGTGTTGACACTGTATTTATATGAAAACATTTCATCAACTGGTTATAAAAGGCCACTCTTTTATGTAATTAAAAGATTCTAAAGGGTGAAATCATACCTGATGCCTCTCACAATTGCAAAAGTAAATTTTGGATAGTTTATATACTATTAGTAATTAGTGTACAAACGAAGTTGCCAATAAATTAACTAGATCAAAGGCTTGTAGCAAACCACTTGTGAGTGTATTTACTCCTCCCATTTACTATCCATTGCAGCGACTGTATATTTTCCATTCAAACATCAAACATGTCAAAAATAATTAAAAGTTGGCCTTGCTAATTGCAGCAGAGAACACCAGCTGAGGTTATACTATGCTCAACTCAAGTAACTATCTCATAATAACTTCATCCCAAAAGATGCCACCAATGAGTCAATATAGTGTTGATCATTTCTTTACTACACACACACACGCAGCAAGCACATGGGGGCATGGGCGTGTACACACACATGCACACATACACACAAAAAGAAGACTCCAGGTTTAAATCCTGAAAATAGAATCCTTATCCTCTTTTTATATCTTCAAATTTTTCTTTGTATCGTGTAAATAGGCCGAAGCTCCTCCATGGCTCCATGTCTCTATGTAGGCAGTCAATGAAAAAGTCAAACCATGATAATTAAAAATACTGACAAGTAAATATGATTTTGTGATTACAAATACATAGACAAGTAAACAAACTAGCCATTGAAGTAATGAATACATTATCTCACTCTAAGGTTAAAACTCTAAAAAAAATGTGTGCGCTCCAATTGCTCTTGCAAAGGCCTCGTTGAATTCCCATATGTCTTCACTTTTTATAAATAAGTTATAACCTAAGGGTATTTTATTCCGAGGCCTCTAACAAAAGCTAAGTAGGCTCCATGGGTTCAGTAAATCAAGTTTGAATAGTGTATCATATGGGAATAAATTTTGGTTGATTAGAACTCAACAATCCAAGGTCCATTATCTACCCAGGATCCATCTCCATTCCATCAAAAAACATAAGAATTATCTCATCACCAGTAAACAAGTTTTACTTGAGGGAGCTTATCCCTATACAATTCACAGACTTGACTCTTGAAAGTTAATTTTGAATCAAGTAATGAGAGGTTTGAGTTGCATAATTATAAGAAAGAAAGCATACATAAAATGCAGCATAATTTCAAGAGATCTTACGCCATTAGGCTACAATGATCCAAAGTACAATGACATGCTTGAGGTCACAGCCATTAGGCCGAATTGTTTTATTTTGACCAAATTTTTAGGAAGTAAGTTGATACTACAGCGGAAGGCATAATGTAGGATTCCGAAATGTCTTGTTTGGATCATTTTAACCTTTGAAAGTGATTCAAATAAATTCCTAAAGTACCGAGTCCAAGATAGATGCATCAATTTGAATTTCTACGCATTTAATTCCCAAGGTCATTGGAGCATAACAAAGAAATGCTCCCAAACCAAAATGAGAAATCCAGACCAGTTGCAAAAGCAATCATTTTACAAAAGAGAAAATACAGATATAAATATATCATTATCAAGAAAGCCAAACTAATAATAACACCATCAAATAGCACAAAATCAAGTATTTTTAATACAATCAACAAAATCAAGCAATGATACAAATCTGATTAGTACCAACAACAACAATAAATCAAGAGTCAGAGGCATCCAACATCATGTTTTAAATAGGAAACCAAATAATTCAAATATCAAAAGAAAATCATGAACCAATCTTCCAGAAAAAGGAACACATGATCACAATGATACAAGCAAACCTTTTGTAACCTCATACCTGCAAAACCTCCTCCAAGAACAAGACATGTGTAAAGGGATCTCTTTTCTTCGATAACACCCTCTGCAAATGCCACACCGCCACCACAACCCCATGAATCTGATCCATACAATCCCCCAACCTCCTCCACAGCCCCTCCTTCGCCTTCGCCCCACCTCCGATCTGTGGCGTCCCACTCCTTGACCCCCCTCCTGGCCCGCCAAACCCCCCCGATGACACTGATATCGCCTTCATATCCAAAGCCCCCGAAATTGCCTTCATCCCCTGATTCTTATATCCCAAAATTAAGGTTTCAACTGTAGCCCTCAACTCCCCCAAATTATAAAACACCTGCAAAGCTCCCCCGACCTCCGCCTGATTAAGCCCTTGCAGCCCATTTTGCAATGCTGCCATGGCTTCTTTTCGCAGTTCTGCACCGACATCGCTGAGCCATGACGAGTGCTCATCGATCGGTTGCAAGCCGCGGAGCCCCGCCTCATCGATCAGTCTGATTATCTCACTGTACAGTTGTGCTGATTTGGATAGGTCAATAGGATTCATATCCATAAGATCATGCAGCTTAGAAATCAGTCGAATTGCACGCAATGTGGCTTGTAAGAGTATCGATGTTTCGTGAAGGTTTCGAAGTTGAGAGGTCTTCAATTTGATTTGTCGGTGGGGTTCAGAAATGTCAGCGCGAGCACGTGCTAGGGAGGCACGCAAAGATGAGGTAGCAGAGCGCGCAACAGAGAGGGCTGAAGTGGCATTAGAGAGAGAGTGAAGGTGTTGAAAGAGAGAGGGGTGGTTAGAGGAGACGAGAGAGCGGAGGTGAGAGTCGAGGAGAGAGATTGCATCTTTGAGCTTCTCGGCTCGGGAGGCAGGGGAGCCAGAGGAGAGGGCATGGGAGGAGAAGAGAGAGGGGTTGAAATCAGGAGAGAGGAAGGGGGAGAAAGTGGGGTCGGACTGGAAAGAGGAGAGTGGGTCACTAGGGGGTGAGGTTGAGGAGAAAGAAGGGGTGGTAGAGGGTATGAGAGAAGAAGAAGGGAGGCGTTGGAGGGTGGGGGAGGCCATGGCTGCCTAAGGATCTGGATCTAGTCAGGCAGTTAAGGGGGGAGTTTAGGAATGCATGTATTCCCCTATCGATAGATGAGAAACGGGGTTTTGATTTCAAAAACAGCAGCAAATCTCCATCGTCATGTAAGCACCGGAACTACTTACTCCCTACATCAGCAGCACATACATATACAGGGTAACCTACTAGCCTCTCCCACCAATGGAAATCCTTTCATCATAGGCAGATCCCTAAAAATGTATAATGTACCAAGACTAGATCATCATTTTGGAATAGACTGAGAAAAGAAGAGAGGGGGGAGGAGAGAGAAAGAGAGAGAGACTTCAAACCAGAAAAACTTGGACCAAAAGATCCCTAAAATGAAAAATGCTAGTTTTCTTAATCAGAACGACGGAACTCCAAATGAAAGGAATGCTATGTTTTGCTTTAAGTGTTGAGAAAAGTACGGGTAAATAAAAATACAATGCAGATTCTAATCAGAACCCCTAGAATGCATAGATAATTATTTTATACGCATTTAAAGAGATTTTTGCACAAAAAGAAGCAAATACTAAGAATTTTGAAGTGAATTGAAAATTAGAACCAGAATCTCTTCAAATCAACTGAGGTTACACTTGCAAAACCAACATGAAGAAAAAAAAAACGAAGTTTTCAAAGAGCAAAAAACACCGAATTTTCGGTTTTCATTAAAAAAGGAATTGAACTTCGTGATTTCTGATCACAGACAGATCAATATGAAAAATCAAAGCTCTTGATGCAATAGCATAAAAAACTTGTGAATTATGTTCATTTCACGAATAAATCCATCAAAAAACCAAAGTTCTTGATGCAAATCATGCAATGGAGCGATAGATTCGTTATTTGTGTTCACGACAGAGCAATAGAAAACACCAAAGTTCGTGATACGTTTAATGCAACAGCATAAACAATATTTCATGAGCTAAGCAATATAAGAAAATCACAGAAATCTCAAAAGCTTACCTGAATACCGCAGATCTTGAGGAGCCCTGCAACCAGAAAGAAAGAGAAGCATGAATTTAGGGTTTCGAAGATGGATGGAAAGAGCTGAATCGCATTCACCTTCAAGAGAGAGGGAAGCCGCTTCTTGCAAGAGAGAGAGCGAATATGGGCAGAGATCGATCCGAAAACCAGTCACCTGCAACTACTGATCAATGGGTTTGGCAAGCCTCTTTTAATTAAAAGTTTATAACCATTGGATTCCTTTAGCAAAGGAGCAAGCGTTTTGGCGTATACTGTTGAAAATTCTCGCGGGTGTACCCACATAGGGCCTAAGAGTTTACTATTGGTGACCGGATCAGTGTTGGAGATACGATTTCTAGTTATTTCAATATGAATCAGTACCTCGAATTAGTGGGACGTATTTGTGTCAGATTGTTAGATCGATCCGAAGTCTCAATGATAATTTAGATAAGGATGAAATTTTTATAAGGCTTAGACTTTATGAAAAACAAAATCAAGCCTCGTCTTAAATCCTTGTCTGAAGAGTATTTTTAGCAATAGAAATTTTCATGACGGCTCTAAAATCAATTTCCATCACTAATATTGAAATTTGAAAGCCAAAAAATAATATAGATCTTGTAAATCTATGAACACCTATTTTTAGGGCAAAATAGACGGTTTAGATAATTTGATACAATAACCATATTTTTAAAACCTAAAATCCTTTTTTTATTCACAACCATAATATTCAAACCAAGGTGATCGATGTATTCAAACCAAGATGATCGATGTAAAGGTTTTTTAATGCTTGAATTGCAGTTCTCTATAGGTTATAAATTGAGGCTTTGCTTATTTTGATAGGGCTACAGGACTATCAAATCATTTCCCTTTGGATAATTATTTAAAATAAATGAAATAAAATAAAATTTAAATAGAAGTTTATGAGGTGGAAATTAGGGAGATGCTAAGAAAATATTAAATAAATTTTTTTAAAAAATAACAGGGTTTTAGGGAGGAACTAAGACGGGACCCATATGATCCAATAACAAGTTTGGTCCCAACAGATTATGGTTTTGTATATATGCAGTAAAACGACCGAGTCTAGAAGAGAACCGGTGGGAGTCTAGAAGGGAACTAGTGGTTTTGCATAGTAAAATGACGACTCTCTACAGTAAAACGGCGATCTAGATCGCTGATTCACCGATCCGGGCCAGTCTTTGCCGTTCACTGTTTTTTCACGTATTCTTTCACCAGTTCACTGAGAAAAACAGTGATCCAAATTGCCGATTCACCTATCCAAGCCAATTTTTGGGGTGCCCAAATAATTGGGCCAAATCAAACAGCGGCTCACTTTTCCCATTTTATATCTAACTTCGTGGAGCGTTGTTTACTTCTACTCCCTCGGTTACAAGATGTACTTGGAATGATTTTTCAATCTAAATTTTTGGAAACTACTAAAAATTATTAGATGATTATTCTAAACAAAATTAAAATTTAAGTTTCCTAACATATCTCACCGTCTAAAAATTGGAGGGTCTTTATTCAATATCGAGGCACTATTTTTTCAAGTGCATAGAGAATACAATTAGGAATCTTCTTTTATTAAGGTTAATCAATGTGTTAAAGTGAGTTATAACCCTAAAATTATTTCTAAATGGAGTTTTACTCGAGGGAATAAATGAACGTTCTACTCCTGCAAAAATAGATATATTTTGGCCTTACATATATCAGCTCAAAAACCTGCCACTCGGGTCCATCACAATAGATTGTCCAACTTTCTTGGGCTTATTATAATAAAAACATGAGAGAGGATCCAAAAATGGCACTCTCATTCTACTAACGACTATTTTTTGGACTCAAATTTAACCTGCACGACTTAGCATCCAACCACGAAAAGAAAATTATACACATTGTATATGTGCGTAAAAAGAAAATGTCTTGTGATTGAATATAGACTGTGCAATTTCCAAACAACGAATCTAGTGTTCATTTGATCGGTTTTAATAAGTCAGGTAGTCCGATTTTGACTAGTTTGGCTAGCTAAACAATGCTAAAAGACTTTTGTCCAAGGAAAAAGTTTATATAAGATTGTAACCTTAAAATGAAGAATTAAAGATGCACCTCAAAAATCTACCGGAAAATATTGTTTTAGTGTTGGAAAACCCTCTAATTAATCATCTCGACATCAAGATGTATGAATATGAAAAAAAAAAAAAAAAGATTTTGAGTCCTAGAAATATTGTATCTTACGACATATTATCTATACCATCCATTTTTAATATTTTCATATGTTTATAGATGTACTTGATTTTAACTATTTTCGGAGTTTAAAATTTTATAATTTTATATGAAAATATATTTTGGGATAATCCGAAGAATATTTTGCGCCAAAATTATATATTATGATAAAATTTGGAGATGCACCTTAATTGGATTGTTTAAGTTGCAACCTTATAAAAACCACAAGCTTTTTCTAATATATTTTGTATTTTTAACCATTACTCTTCTTCTTTTTTATAGTTTTCAAAAGAATAATTGTTTCATGCAGGCTGGACGACATTTCTAGAATATGCAAACCAAAAGTATAAAACATCCATCTTAAAGATGGATGCAAATAAGTGGTCCATCCAAAACCAAATGTAACGAACGGTCAAAATGTTTTCTTAATATAATTATTACTTCTAATTTTCAAAAAAAAAATCATATTCATGATCTCCATGTTAAAGATTATATATTCTCTAAAAATTATGATCAAATTATATTTAAAATAAATATTTATTGCCAAGCCCGCATTTCTATGATATGCAGGTTGGCCGCATGCTAACCGCGTCATTTTCAAAATCTGGTCGAACCAAATTTATCTGTGGTCGAATTAGTTTATTCGACCCGTGGCCAGTTTTGATCCTAATAACTATGCTTAGTAATATATGGCAACTATTCATGCTTAAGTGTTAGATGGTGTAGTTTAAAATTGTCCTCACACCCTTCTTCTTCTTCTTTTTATTTTTATTTTTATTTTTATTTTTTAAAATTTTTTAAATTTATTTATGTATTTCCCATCAAAAGTTGCGTGAGAAATGTCTCATAAACTGGTGGTAACCTACAAATATTTTTGATATGTAGAAATTGATATAGCTGACCCCAATTAGTTAGGAAAAGGCTTTGACGATGGTATAGAAATCGATAGAGATAGATGCTTTTATACCTAATTGCGCATTTTTTTCTTCCTTTACACAATGCATATTATATTTACTCCTTGTCATCAAATGGAAGTCCTTCTTGTCTACAATGTCAATAGGGTTAGGCATTGAAGCCTAGACACTTAGTGTGTTTAACAAATTTTCAATTTTCCTTATCTTTGGTCAAAGTTACAAAATTTCTGATAAACACTAAATGCAACAAAATATGGAAAAAGTTCATATAAGGTTGAGGCCCTAAACAATCAAATCAAGGCACACCCCAAAAATTCACTATAAGAGGTTGTTTTGATGTTGAAAACCCCTCAAATCTATCATCTCGAACTCGAGATGTATAAACATGAAAAAAGTTAGATATCATGTTGGTGAAATACTACATCTTGTAATGCATTATTTGGGTTGTCAATTTTCAATATTTTAAAGTATAATTAGATATACAAATATATTTTTAGGTCATCACAAAAATTTTTGCTTTTGAAAATCATCTTTCGATACTATTTAGAGGTGCGCCTTACTTTGATTGTTTAAGGCCTCAGCCTTATAGAAACCACGCCCATGAAATAGTTTGAGATAGAAATCCCAAAATTGAACCTCACCTGTTCAAAGTAGAAATTCAATATAGAAATATGTATTTGAAACCTACGAGTTTTGGCATTCGTCCCCAAAAGTAAACTTATAAAATTGTATTAGTCAAAGTCCATCACCTTTCGGCAAGCTCACCAAAAAAATACGATTCCATCGAGGTAGAACCCTTTTCTAATACGAACTTCTAACATCTTCCATATAGCATGTCCAATGTGTACAAAATCAAGTGAGTCAAACCAAGACCTAGCCAAATTGCATTAATTGAGAGCAGTGTTTGACTACTTGGTCCGAGTCCCGAGTACTTGGGCTCGCCGAGTCCGAGTTTCCTTAATTTGGGTGTCCCACTTGGGATCATAAAAATCATTATCATTGTCAAAGTCTTTTCCCAACTAGTTGGATGCCGCACTTGAAGATATTAAAAAAAATTCATAAAAATTATAAAAAATTTCCAAAAACTAAAGAATTTATTTGTAATAAGTATTTTTATATTTTATATCATTTTTGCAAAGATTAGAAAGTGTTTTGGCTATAAATACTTATTTTTACATTTTTCTAATTTTTGAGTTATTTCAAAACTACCCCTACACAAGTTGATTTTTTTAAATCCAATTTCTTACTACTTTTTTAACCTCATTTTGATGCGCTTTGCTTAATATTACTTAAATATATATTTCTTATTTTTAACACTACTTAGACTCGGGCCGAGTACTCACCTTGAGTAGTGGTTTCGAACTCTGCTTGAGAGAACCATCTTTTCCAATACCAAGTCACAATGTCTTGCAGCTCAATTTCTCGATTAATCAAATTCCCTACAGCTACCTGTGAGAGAGTTTCTAGTATGAATCCATCACAATTATAGAGAAAAATACAGAGTAATACCAAGTCACATTAGAATGAAGGGGTTTCCAATTCCTCACGTCACAAGGTTCTGAACTGAGTTCACAATGAGCCTAAAGATTTTATGCTCTAGTAAAGAGTATACTATTCATTTACTCATTTGGTTAAAACCTAATGTAGTATGCACTAGAAAAAGTAATTTTAGAATCCCAAAGTTCAGGTATACAACCTTTTCAGCCTATACACTAACATGGTAAAACAATTTTTTGAATTAAACTATCTATGTAGAAGAAAAAACAAAAAAATTTTAATTTATGTAAGGCGAGTTGAAAAAAATCTTCTCAAGTACGTCTTTGCCTATGGAGTAGATTTACAATATATGCTCCCCAGACGTAGTACATACTGCTCTTACAAACCATGCTCCCCCAGACGTAGTACATACTGCTCTTACAAACCATGCTCCCCCAGACGTAGTACATACTGCTATTACATAACCAAGTCACCATGCGTTGGAGCTCCATTGCTATAAAGAATACACAAGCACCCTTTGAAATAATGCTTTATATAGAAACATAAGTCACCCAATCTGCATTATGAACGGCTCGAATCAAACCCAATGAATCCGACCCAAACACTAGACGAGTTTAGCACGGATTCCCATTTATGAACCCAAACACCTAACGAGTTCGGTCCCGATTGCAAATTTTGAGGCCCGGATTCCCATTTATGAATCGGACCCAAACACCTATCGAGTTCGGTCCCGATTCCAATTTTTGAGGCCCTCATAGGAAAAATCAAACAGAGTTAATACAAAAGTGTACTTAGTTTGCAAAGTGACGCTATGCATCGAAGAATGAATGATCGAGAACGACTGGTGTTCCCTTAACATGCAACCGTGGACTTTAAAGTTGAATTGCGGTCTCTTGACGAAGATGGACGGCAGATGGCCCCTCTTCAACAGTGGACCTTAAAGTTGAATTGCGGTCTCGTGATGAAGATGGACGGCAGATCCCCCCTCTTCTGTGCGCTATGCACTACAACACACAGCTAATACGACATTTCTTTGTTGTATGTATTACAAGCATCAAAATTAGGGACGATTTTTGGAAGGCCGCGGCTTTATGGTATTTGGTAAAGCTAAACATCAAAAACCAGAGCTGCGACCATATTTCTGTTCTTGAATATAAAACTTGAAACTCGACGTAGTTCTGCATTTATAAAAATATAAAATATTAGTTTTTAAGTCCATTGTGGCTGAGGTTGGCAAATTTTGGCACTGGAATTGCAATCCCCCAAAAATTTAGGGAAAAATTTTATATAAGTTGTTACCCTTGTATTGTGTAAGTACAAAACCCCACCAAAACAAACATATTGTTTTCATACCACAAAACATAGTACATTTTATATATAACGCCACATCATCTAGACGGTCTATTTTTTAGATTTTCAGATGTCTTTAGATCTCTGCGATCTACACAATTTTTAAACCTTTACATTTTATATATAACGCCACATTATCTTGACTGTTTATTTTTTAGATTTTCAGATGTCTTTACATCTCCATGATCTACACAATTTTTAAAGCTTTAATAAATTTTCAGTCATGTCACAATTACCTATTCAAATAAATAATTGTAACATTGACTGTTAGGAATACCAATCCAAGGGTGGCAATGGTTATGTACCCAAACCCGACCTGCATCTATGAATGAGTCCAAACATCAGACCCGATGGGTTGAGTCCAGGTTGAGGTCCAAATCTTGGACCCAAAAACTATGTGGCTCCAGGTCCTGATCCATCTAGACTCGACCCAAATCAAGACCCGGACCTCACCCGATCAGTGTTAATATTTATGTAATATTGAGTATATAATATTTAAATAAATATAATTATATATTTTTAATTATAATATTTAAATACATTTAAATATTATTTATTTATTTTTCAGTCGGGTCCATCTACGTCCGGCTAGGACCCGACCCGTCACCTCGCCACCCAATTTACTACCTTCCCTAACAATATTGAATTGAGAAATAGAGACCAAATAATCATAGGAAAAAAAAAAAAAAAGGGGCAAAGAAAAGAGAGAATGAAAAGGAAAGAGAGCGTCTCGATGTGACCCACACAACGTAAAAGGTTTCGAGTTTCGAGCATCACGCCTCTTTCCCTTCTTTTTCCCAGCGACACATATTATTATCATTATTATTATTGTTTTAGTGACCAAATTATCCTTTAAATATCATATAAATAACCAACAAGACCCTTTCCTATGCGAACGCGTATTCACCACATGCCCAAAAAGGACAAAAAACCACATGCCCAAAAAGGACAAAAAACCAGATCGCAGGTATCAGTTGAGGGTATTTTCGCCATATTATAAATAATTTGTTCTCAATCAGCCTAGCTTGAGGGGGTATTTTGGTCACACAAAGACCCTTTTCTTTTTTTCAAATCTGACCAAAATACCCCACAATCCAGAGAGCCAAAAAAGATAATACACTAGAATGACTATAATGCCCTTTAAAGCTCATAGCGTTAATAACAAGCAGTTTACAAGTCGTAATTTCAAACCCAAACTCAAAAATCAAAATGCGAAAAAAAGTGTGTGAGAAAAAAAGCAAAAGAGGTGGGCTATTTCCGTCCATGAGGACTTTTTTTTAGTTATAATATTATTTCCGAAATTAAGAAAAAAAAATTTGGTCCGTAACTAAGAACCAAGGCTACAGGCATAAAACGGTAATAATGGAAAGCCATCCTCTTTTCATTCTCACTGACGACAAGTTTGGTGGCGTTTCACCAAAGAGACGCCTTCCAGGCCACACGTTCACAGGATTGGACGGCTTAGATTTGGGGTTTTAGCATTGGGGAAATCAAAGGCCGCGTAGCACCACACGAAATCGATTCTTCACCGTTCGATTCATAATCCGTCCTCTGCACATAGGAACACTCCTTAGAAACCCATAAATCCGGACCATCCATTCAAGAAAAGAACTAAAAGAGTTAAGACAACAAAAATCAACAACGTATAGGGATTTATTTTATTTTTTTTTTGGCAAAATATATAAAGGCATGAAATTTCAAATTGGATGGTTGTATGAAATTTTTTTAAAAAAATTTTAAAATATAAATTATATAAATCCATTTTAATATAGATAAATATAAATTATATAAATCCATTTTAAAAATTTACAAAATACCCTAAACAAATAAATTAGACAAGAAAACATAAAAGGGCAAGTTCCAAGCCCAAGCTCAAGAAATCTAAGCCTTAATATCAATTCAACAAAAAAAAATCCAAGAACTAGAAAAAATAAACAATTCAAGAAAAATAAAAATGTTTAGTCTAAAATTCCCATTCTCCACCAAAATTGAAAAAACTAATTTAATGAGGAATTGAGAAAAATTACCTCAAATCTTGATGATCTTAGCGGCCTTGACCACAGGATTCTCTCTCGCTATAGCTTCTTTGCCAACGGCTTTATAATCAAAGCTGCAAACGTGTCGATCGGAATACCTGTGTTCTCCACAGAATAAATCGCCACACCGGCATCGGAATCCGGTCAACCCTACCCTTTTCCGGCAACTCTGACACCGATTCGGATACCGTGTCGGATTTTCAGGCGATTCCTCTGGTCTTTTACGGCTTATTTTTTCAGAACTAAAGGCGGGGACAGAGAGAACTCTCTCTCCCGCCCTCTCAGATGAGGGGACACAGCCGGATCTCTTGTCTCCGGCTCCTGACACAGACGGACACGGTGTCGGAGTCAGGATTCCGGCCTCTCCAAAACGGTTCTGATGGGTTTCGGGAACCTCGCAGTCGGTAACGTCTTTCTCTCTCTGGGCCATTTTTAGAGAGAGATTTGTTTCGAAAATCGCCTGGAAACCGGTTTTCAAGGAAAAATAGGTAAAAAAAACTTTGCCGTAGAGAGAGAGAGAGAAATGGCTGGAATTTGATCTTATTTAACACAAAATAATAGTGGCCGGAAAACTAAGATTTCTCAGAGAGATGAAGAAGAAAAAGGCCTAAAAATTAGACCTTTTCATGATCACAGAGAAATGGACAGAACTTGAGAGTTTCCAGAGAGAGAGAGACGAAGAAGAAAAATAGCTAAAAACCAGAGTTTTGCAGGGAAACGACGAAATCGAAACCCGGAAAATTGATTTTCCGGGAGAGAAGAAAGATGGTTAAAAGAAAAATGGATATTGGGGGGGTTTCATGAGAAGAAAAATAACAGAAAAATTTGCAATTTTTCTTCGACCCCAAAAGGAAAGGGCCTGTGTATTTTGAGAGGGTATCTTGCAGAGGGCGTATATAACTCTAGAGAGAGAGAGAGACGAGGCGTCCTTTAAAGGATTTTTGGAGAAAGTCGGCAATGGAGGGACCCCCTCCTTCCCACCTCTTTCTCTCTCTAAAACGCGTTTCGGACGTTTCCCAAAAGTTCCTCTCTCTTTTTCTCTCTCTCTCTCTCTCTCATGTAAACACCACACCTTTGCACCGATATAACCAACCATGCCCAAGTAATTTTCTTTTACCCTTTCATCACTATTACTAAATTACCTTTGCCAAATGCAATCAAGGACAAGACAGTCCTCGTCAGAGTTTTTTTAGACCGTCCGCTTCCGAATGAGGATTATGTGAGATGACAATAATGCCCCTGGTCTTTATTTTCCAGTCGGTGTTGGGTACGTAGGCCTGTTTCATGTTACAAGATTTTGGTATATAGTTTTCCATGAAAATAAATAGAATTGCTGGCTTATATATGGTTTTTTTTAAGAAAAAAAAAAAGAATCGTTGGGATTGTCTGTTAACGGGTGAAATCTCACATTTTTATTATAAAAGTTGTTTAAAAGCCTAGGATCAATCTCGAACTCAACGGTACCAAACCCATGTCAGATACCACCTCTATAGGACTATGAGGCTTGGCAAAGCCTTAAAGATATAGAGAGATCCATAAACAGAATCGACTTCAAGGACTTGGGAATGGGCTTGAGGCATTGGTGGTTAGAGGCCCTGATAGGATTCCCACCGTTAACATGACAAAAGAGAGGAGAGAACCTACTTCTAAGACTGCTTGCTTGATCGTCCCATGAATCATTGGAGCCTGGCACTTAGCCGGCCTGGAACTCGGGCGTCTCGGAACCTGCAGTCACTATCTATTAAAACACTTACCCGAATTTAAAAAATTATCCGTTTGTTTTCCCCTAAACAGAACCGATCTAATCACTCACCTAATGCATCTTGGTTTTGTGAAGCGTTCGAAGAATTGAAGGCGAAAGGGGCATTTTCGTCATTAAGTCCACTCAATCGACACATTCTAGGTAATAAAGCAGATCCTAGGGGTATTATGGGGCATAATTTGCCCTGAATTCCTTGTTGATGGATTTGTCGTCCTCTCGGCCGCCCTATCTGACCGCATCTCGCTTTCTATGAAGTCGCTACCGTGAATGCTCTCCGTACACGTGTCAGTCTATTGTTTGTCCACGTGGACTATGGCCAGTTGGCCTACGATCTTATCGTTTGGTGCACCGTCTTTTCATGGCTCGACTCCTCTGATCAGCTCGGCTTGAGCCTTTGCCAATTAATCTCTCACTTATATATAGTATCTAAGAGCACGAATACTATGCTCAGAGTTGGCTTATTTTCCCTCAGCCAACTGTTTCAATTTGAAATTTTGGCAGCTATTTAAGGATGGGAAAAGTTTATATAAAGTTGCACCTTTAAAATGTAGAATTATAGATGCATCTCAAAAATCTATCCAAAAAATTGTTTTAAGGTTGAAAAACCCTTAACAAACAAAAAATTGTTTTAATGTTGAAAAACCCTTATCAAAAAAAAGTTTTTTAGTTCTATAAATAGTGCATCTTGCAACACATTATCTAGACCGTCTATTTTTAAGATTTTCATATGTTTATAGATCTACTTGATTTTAATCATTTTAAAATTTAAATTTTTTTAATTATATATGAAAATATATTTTAAGATAATTTTTAAAAAAATTTACAACAAAATTACATATTATGGTAAAATTTGGAAGTGTGCCTTAATTGGATTATTTAAAGTTGCGACCTTATAGAAACCGCACCCTTTAAGAATCACTAGATGAATTTTATATAAAAAAAAAAGGAAAAAGAATTTGAGGTCTCTAACACTTTGATTTCACCTTCTAAAATTTGGACTATTCAATTTTGTAAAATTATTTTTTAAAGTGTTTAGAAGGTGTAATTAGAAAAAAAAATTAGCCAATTTAGAAATTGAGGTCAATTTATATGGTAAAGAGTTTATATCTCCAAAATTTGCCGCCTAAAAGCTAATCCTAAGTGGGTTTTACCCAACAATATACTCCCGGAGGAGTAGAATATCGTTTGGCTTTATTCAATTAAAACTTGAAGGGGAAAACACATTGGGGAGAGAGAGAGAATTGTGATGTGAAATTTGCCAGGATAAATAGATTTTTTTGAGGAAAATAGGGTGAAAACAGGGAAATTAATAGAAAAACCTTCTCCTATTTTTAAAATTTTAAAATATTTTCATATGTTTTTATGTTTTATACTTAAGTTTTACTTTTTTTATAATAAATATAGTATTTTAATGTTATATTTCAAAATAGATTTTGAGGGGGGCCACAAATAAATAGGTGAGTTTGGTGTGTCACCACAAAAAGTGAAACTTTTTCTCTGGGTTTGGTTTCAAGGAAAGTCGTTGACAGTGGACGAGCTTATGAGAAGGGGCAGATTTGTAACTGACATTTGTTTGCTTAGTAAAGAAAGTGATGAGAGTATGGATCATTTGTTTTTTCATTACCAATTTACTTATGACGTATGGTGTTGGTTTTTCATAAGGTTGGTATTGTGGGTTCTTTGCCATAGAGTCATATGAACATTAATGAGCAATTGTCTTATGATGGGTTGCATAAGCTGGTAATTCGATTTTTCAGATCGGTAGGGCAGCAATTTTATGAGACGTGTGGTTGGAAAGAAATATGAGAGTTGTTAAAGGTGTATTTATGGAGAGATATTGTTTAAAACCAAATACAACATACTTCATAGAGTTGATTTTCAGTTGCAAATGAAGGATTTGATGTTTCTAAAGTAGACATGGAGGTCAATATTATCAATATTATAAAACAATCAGTGGTAAAGGTCAGACATAGATGAAGATGGGAAGCTCCGATGATAAGCAGCTTCAAATTGAACTGTGATGGAAGCTCATTTGGGAATCCGGGATCAGTTGGACTTGAGGGTATTGTGAGAGATTTTTGAGGTGAAACTGTTTTTTGTTTTGCACGTCTGTGGGGTGAAAAAAAATGCAAATGGAGCTAAACTTTTAGCGGTCTTACAAGGGCTTAAAATTTATTAAGGAACAAAATATCCTTGTACCATATGTCATAGAAGAGGATCCTATGAATGTAATCAATTGGTGCAATTCCGTATGTGGACGTGGAGATTGAGATCAATTTGGTTGGAAGTTATAGAGATTTCTCAAGTGGCTTGTCTAGCTCTTTTAGACATATTTATCAGGGAGGTAATGCGGTAGCTGACTCTCTGGAAAAAAGAGGTGTCTCTCTTCAGTCGTTGGTGATTTCAGATGTTATTTTTGTTTGACTTTGCTGTAATATTTTATCATTAATAAAATCACATAATGTTGTCCAAACCAAAAATCAGATATGTAAAAATGGCGCAAGATTAGATCCTGAGTTGTAATTATTGCATGGATATATTAAAACTTTTAAAATTTTAGTGGCATCACTTAAGTAACCTCAAGATACCATGTTGCACTTGCTCTTTTGGCTCCTTTTTCAAGCGTGACTGGTGAATTATTGAATATGATTCCAAGTTTTACGCACCATTCATGGGCAATGAGTTGAGTGTATTTTGGTACCTTTTCGTGATCTACCTGGTTTTGGTGTGGATACCTTTTCATGGTACCGCCCTTACTTTAGATATTGATATTAAAAGTCATTCCTGGCAATTAGGTAGGGTCAACCCGTCAGGTCGAGCTCATGAATTGGACCTGGTGGGTAGAATCCACGTTCATATGACAGATCCAATCCAGTGAGTTTTGGATCTTGGTCCATCTTGGATCGTAACGAATGGGTATTTTACATATATATAAATATTTTTTTAATATACCTAATATTTTTGAACACTTATAGTCTATTTTGCAATATAATTTTTTAAAACAAATATATTTTTCATCCTTAGAAGGGATATGATATATACTTTTATAATAAACTAATGTTATTTCAGTAATGGTTGACAAGCAATCATAATTCTATGTGGGTGTTGTCACACATCATGTGGATGATGTTATCTTCCACTATATTTAATAAATACTTCTCTTTCTATCAATAATCTCTATTTTGTTCTTGATTAATTATCTAAAATACTTGTATGCCAAAAAGTTACTACATGATAGAGTGAGGGTATCAAGTGCCTAAAAATATTGAGTACTTTAAGGAAATATCATATTTAGGCTTACCCTAACATAACCACACACACACACACACACACACACACACATA